GCCCCGACCTTGCCCTTCGCCTCCTCGCCCTCATGCGCCGCCAAGGCCTCCTCCCTGACCAGCAGAACTATACTCTTGTCCTCCAATCCCTTCTCCACTCCCCCGACCCCCCTGACCCTTCCCTCCTCTCTCTCCTCTCCTCTGACATCCGCTCAGTCCGCCTCGAGCCAGACGCCCGCCTCCTTTCTGACCTCATCGTAGCCTTCTCCCGCGCCGCCGACCCCGACGCTGCCCTTTCCGTACTCGCCCAAACTCAGGCCCAGGGCATCACCCCCAAATTTTCTGCTGCCGTCGAGCTCATCTCCGCCCTGGGCAATTCTGGCCGCGTTGATGAGGCAGAGGCCATATTCGCCGAGCTCCGCCACTGGGGCCTTCAACCCCGAACCCGCGCTTACAATGCTCTCCTCAAGGGCTATGTTAAAACAGGTGCTCTTAAAGATGCAGAACAGGTGCTCGACGAAATGGAACACTGCAGTGTGGCACCTGATGAGCGCACTTACAGCCTCTTGATTGATGCCTACACCAATGCTGGTCGGTGGGAGAGCGCCAGGATCTTGATTAAGGAGATGGAGATGAATGATGTCCGGCCTAATTCTTATGTGTTTAGTAGGATATTAGCAAGTTTCCGGGATAAGGGTGAGTGGCAGAGGTCTTTTGCTGTGTTGAGAGAGATGAGGAACAATGGCATCCACCCAGATCGCCATTTCTACAATGTGATGATTGATTCTTTTGGAAAGTATAATTGTCTTCACCATGCCATGGATGCTTTTGATCAGATGAGGGCTGATGGCATTGTGCCTGACGTTGTCACGTGGAACACACTTATTGATGCACATTCAAAGGCTGGTCGGCATGATCAAGCCATGAAGCTGTTTGAGGAGATGGAGATGAGTGGGTTGGCGCCATGCACAACAACCTTCAACATAGTTATTAACTCGTTGGGCGAGCAAGAGAGGTGGGAGGAAATGAAGGAGCTGTTTCAGAGGATGAGGGAGAAAGGGTTACTGCCAAATGTGGTGACCTACACTACACTTGTTGATGTTTATGGAAAGTCGGGGAGGTTTAAGGATGCCATTGAGTGCTTGGAAATGATGAAGTCTGGAGGGATGAAACCTTCCCCAACCATGTATCATGCCCTGGTGAATGCGTATGCTCAGAAGGTGCTTGAATCGAATCAGCCATATCTTCAACTTGCTTTTAAATTTTGATTGTAATTGCATTGATTTCTTAAGATGTTCTGTTTTCTGCTATTTGCACCCTTTCTACAGGGTCTATCAGACCAGGCTATACATGCTTTCAGAGCCATGAGAGCAGATGGTATCAAACCTAGCGTTTTAGTACTTAACTCATTAATTAATGCATTTGGAGAAGACAGAAGAGATGCTGATGCCTTCTCTGTACTGCGATTTATGAAGCAGCATGTCAGTATTCTTCACTATATGCTGCCCATTCTTAAAAATAAACTATCTTGTGGATTTTAACCTCTACATGAATGTTTTCCTAACAAACAGAAGTTCACTAGCTCTGCAGGATATGGAACCCGATGTTGTGACATATACAACTCTTATGAAAGCTCTGATTCGTGTTGAGAAGTTTGAAAGGGTAATGATCCTTATTTTTTATTATTTCATTTGATTAAAAAGATCTTGCGATGACATAACGATGGCAATTCTCACAAATGCCACGACATTGCCAAAGTTTTTTCTATGCGCTTGATTTTTTTTTTTCTTATGTTAATCCCTATTCTTCATGGTTGAACAATCTGAACTAAATCTCATCTATACACAATAGGTTCCATCTGTTTATGAAGAAATGATTTTATCTGGCATCACACCTGATAGGAAAGCTAGAGCCATGCTGCGATCAGCCCTCAAATACATGAAGCAGACATTTAGATAATATTCTCGTTCATGCTTCAGACTGCATAAGGCTTTGTCGTTGCTTTGTGCTTTCTGAAACCAGTTAAAGGTCAGTCTCTGATCCTCCTAATTTATAATGCATGTTATTTTTCTTTGAAATTAAAATTTATGTATAGCAGTTTCTATATTTTTGCTAATTGTCCATGCTTATTTGTTTTAAATGGAAAAAAAATAACTTTTATGCCGTTACTCTTAGTTGGTCCAAAATCTTGGGTATTCCTCCAAAGTTTTTATTTGCAATGGATTTCAAACTTGCCAAAGTAGGTAACCTGATGCAGCCAGGCGTCTACGTGCTTGACTCAACAGAAACTGCTTCTCTAATATGCGCGGGGACTCCTATCACCTTGCTTCTTCATAAAATAACTTATATTATTTTTATTTCTTTTAGCTTATTTCTCTTAGTTCTGTGCCCATTGACAACAGTATATTGCGCTACTATATATTATGCTGGGAGGATTCCATCTGGTAGTGTTTATTGATCTGTTTACAGACTCTTTTTTACGATATTCAAAGGAATACAATGTTTTACCCTTCTTCCTTGCAAATTTATTGCTTCTGCTTGTAGTCAAATCATCATCTACGCTAGAAGTGGTTTCAGAGCTTGCGCGAGGATCGATGGTAGAAGGGGGCAAATGTTTGATGATCGAAGCCTAGAAACCCTTTGGGCCGCTCAAGCCAATCTTAGATGGAGAATGGGAAATCTCAGTATCTAGTTCCTTTGATTTATTATATAGATTGAGCAAGAGTTCCAAAATCTCAAGATGGGAGGAACCACTAACCCGGCCTCACTATTGTTAGGATTGATAGCCATACCAACCCAACATTAAACTCCTAAAGTGCCTTGCAACATGAGGCGAGCTTGATGGCATGCATGACTTGCTTCACTA